TTATGTCAGCATTACCATGTCGTTATGTCAGCATTACCATGTCGTTATGTCAGCATTACCATGTCGTTATCATGTCAGCATTACCATGTCGTTATGTCAGCATTACCATGTCGTTATGTCAGCATTACCATGTCGTTATCATGTCAGCATTACCATGTCGTTATGTCAGCATTACCATGTCGTTATCATGTCAGCTTACCATGTCGTTAACATACAACATTTTTCATCGGTGGCTGCTTGAAATGTTCGTCAGAGCACCGTGAAAAATCGGCCAAGATTTATTTCTTCATTCGGTCCAGAAGTCTTCAACCTTCCGAGCGCTAAGCTATATATTAAAGCTATATATAAGCTATAAAAAAGAGTATATTAAAACTTGCCGAAGTGGACTAGCATCTTTGAATTTCCTGAGACAATCTCACCTCGTGATACGGGCCAGTACTGAGACCAGTACCGAGACCGTATGTTACGGCCGCACAAGTGAAGTCACGCGATCGCGAGCGTTCCGCTTCTGCCGCTCGCGATCGTATGGAGTGCACGGGTCGCGATTTTCTTAAAACTCGAGTTCAATCGAATCTAAGCTCCTTTTCCGTAATGGCTGACCGAATCATATTTCCCTGCATGAAATCTGTCGGTAAAAATTATTCATGCCACTGAACACATTGGGAACGACCGGACTGGGCGAAACCCTCAAATTTTAAAGACCATGAGCACTTTTGCATCAGTTGCCGAAAAAGTTGCATACCAGTCCCAAGACCGCGATGACGACGGTGCCCTCCCGGTTGTTGAGGCACCCGCAGCAGCATCCCTTCACGATCGGCATGGCCATTTTTTTTTTCTCCAACCGGTTTTTTCTTTCTTTCGGATCTGTGGCACGGGGGAAACATCATTTATGCGTGGGGGCCCGTGTCTGCAGGCCTGACGCGATGAGGTCAACTGCAGGGCCAACAGCGATAATTGCGAAAAAAAAATTATTATTTCTGAAATTATTTATATTTTTCATCTTGGCACGGTGCAACTGAAAAAAATTTTCCCCGGCCGACTCGTGTCGGCCCGAATCCGAGTCGTCCAGTCGGAAAAGGTGCATATCGCTGACACTATGTTGACTTCGCGGTTGCCGCAGAATTTGCGGAATTTCGCACAAAGACGGAATTTCCAAATTTTTTGCGAGCGTCGTAACTTACATCGAAAACGAAATCTTCAATTTTTTTTCATTTTTCCCCGCAACCCATTCATTTTTTTTTAAATACCAAATTTATTAAATACAAGTACCAGTACTTTCCGGGGTCTTTCTCGATCGCGAGAGAAACCGCCGCGGAGAATTCTGCGCAACCTCCCAACGACCGCGACCGCGAATTCCGCAGCGGGGGCTCCACCCCGTCCAGGCGGGAGAGCGGCCTCAAGTCGAGGAAAATGTTCACGGAAGGAAATCCAAGAAATCGCGAACAGTTGGAGAATTTCATCGCGGAAGCTGCGAATAATTTTTCGCGGTAGTTTCTCTAACTGTGGATAATGTTGCTGTGCGCTAAAAAAAAAAAAAAAAGGAAAATGCTGCTGCTTATGCGAAGTTTTAATCCATGTGGTATAAAATGGTATCATATTATCTTTTAAATGTAGTTAGTACGACGCTTTTATCTTTCCTACAGCATGGGTCTCGTCCGTTTAAAAATAGGAAGTTATTTTCCAATCAACCTGGAAATTATTCCAATTTTATATCTTACATTCTAATTAATTAGAGGTAAGACATTTTGGCGCCGAAATTATCGTCTAAATTAGCGGTTCTCAAACTTTCGCGAACCCCCAGGGCATTCGCGAAAGGTTTCTAAGGGAAGGAATTAAGGATTCTTAGGAAGGAATTAAGGATTCTTAGGAAGGAATTAAGGATTCTTAGGAAGGAATTAAGGATTCTTAGGAAGGAATCAAGGATTAATTAAGAAACTAGGATTAATTAAGAAATCTCTTTTCTCTGATGGATTTCCTGAAGCCAGCCGATGAATCCCGATGAATTTTTTCCCTTATTACAGGGGAATTAGGGGCATTAGTCGAAACTAGAGAGTCGAAAGTAGAGCCGATGTTGCTCTAATAATTTCATCGCCCGAGATGAAATTATTAGAGCAACATCGACAGCTTTGCTCTCATTCACCCCAGGGGGGTGAGGCAGACGATTGCCTTTTCCGGTTCGGATATTAGTAATTAATCATATTGATTTTGTGAAGGTGAATTGATTTTGTGAATTTTGTGAATTGATTTTGTGAATTTTGTGAATTGATTTTGTGAATTTTGTGAATTGATTTTGTGAATTTTGTGAATTGATTTTGTGAATTTTGTGAATTGATTTTGTGAATTGATTTTGTGAATTTTGTGAATTGATTTTGTGAATTTTGTGAATTGATTTTGGGGTACCTTCTGCATCAACATGAATTGAGTTTGAATCTGGATTTTGATAACTGAAATTATTGAATCTGGATTTTCTTCCTTTGCGATCATCGAAAGCAAAAATGCAGCAGCCGAACACTGTTGAAGATGCGAATGAGAATCGGCTGCATCCAGCACACCCGTCGCAATGAATAACGAATGATATTTTCAATACTTTTTTTTTACGTTTAAATACCAATTTAAACGCGCGTGGCATTCAATTTTCGTTTGACTTTAATGAGCAGCCCGGGATGCCTGAAAATCGCAAGGTTTTGATTTCTGTGAAACGGGAGTCGTGGACCCAAAAAGTTAGAGAACCGCTGGTCTAAATCTTCACCGCACAAATCGCGCACAAATCGCGCACTAATCGCGCACTAATGGAGCAAACGGCGCCACCACAGGAATGAGTCGAGCCTGCGAACGTTCGCGGTCTCTGCAGACCTGCGATCCTGAGTCTGGCTCCGGTGTTCACACGCGATGCGCTGGACTGCCATCGTCGCATCTGGCGGCAGATGCGGCACGGTTCGTGGCATCTAACGTGGCATCTAATTGGGTCACGATGCATGCTTTTTATTCCGTTTTCGCCGCGACGCTTTTCGCCTCCTGAGGCGCTCGCCGATGGCAGTCGCAGAATTTTCCTTTTTTTCCTTTCAAGCCTGTCTCTCCCAGCTTCTGCGAATCCTCTCAGAAGAAGAAATTTTGACTCGAGAAAAAAAGAGGAGCAGAAACTCGCGACCGAGCCACACATTCCCACTCGCGACGACCGAAAGCCTCCGCCGACCCGCACGCAGCAGGAAACGAAGTCCCCGTCCCCATTCCAGAGATTGCCCCCCCCCCCCCCCCCCCCCCCCCCCCCCTCCCCCCCCCTCCCCTCTCTCGTCCGGAATGGAGGCTCGGAGGAAATTGAGAGCCGGATGCAGGCGATCGACATTCCCCACGGAGGAATCCAACTCCGAAAGGATTTAAATGGCGACAGGCGAAGCTCCTCTGCGAAGGTCATGCCCTTCAAATAAAATTCAAATAAAATTCTCACAACGAACAAGCTACCATCATTTCAGAGTGTAATTAAATCATGCCAAACCTCGGCATCGTGCCAGACATTAAGAGAGTGTGTGCACTCCACCAAGTGGCATATGAGCAATTGGTTAATCCCCTTAAGAAAAACTTCTGTGAGATGCATCGATCCGGAAGCGCTCTGAGGCCTGTCGTCTGATGTCGGGCTGATGTCGTCTCGAACGACTTCGTTGAGATGCTCGTCCCCGAACCCATCGGTATGTCGCACGAGCTCGTAATCGGAGCCGTGACGTGTCGTGTATCGTAACGAACCCGCCCTATCATTAGGCCTGTCGTAGACCTTATTCGATTCACCCGGTCCGCATGCTCCCAATGTCAAAAAAAGGGCGGGGCGGGGCGGGGCGGGAGGTGGCCCTCGCCAGACGGCCGGGTCGCAGATCACCGTGGAAATTTCTTCCAGGACGCAGAAAGGAATCCGAACACGTCACTGGGGCTTGGGTCAACTCGACGAAACCGTGGTCTGGTCGCGAGAGTTTTAAAATACCAGCAGTCTAATGGGTTGAAATCTGAGAATGTTTACATTAAGATACGAAGCAGTTCGGTTCGTATCGACGCCCACCTGATGAAAAGGAACGAATGAGACCATTTCACATTCGAAATGTTGTAATGGCCTAACCTTCTGGTCCTATAACGGCAGAGCCTCACAGGGCCTTCGCGCCGTCAGCCATAGATCGGCCTTAGCCACAGATGTCGAACGATATTACACACTGGAAGCGACACCCGATTGTTTGCTCATGGACCGAACACTCCTCCCTCTGTTTTTTCACGAAAAGAAAAGATGTGCTCGGTGGTCGAGGAGTTGGCATCGTGAGGCCATCGTTTGCCATGACCCGATACACTTCCAAACGCAAGACAAGAATGCGGAAACTATTTTACCCTCTTCATGCATAGGTTTGCCAAAATACTTCTATGGAAATTTTGCTCTGAGACAGATGCTTACAGAATTGTAAGAAGAATTGTAAGAATTGAAACTCCGTGACGCTCTAGCGACATCTATCGGCTGACACGGCACGCACACATCAGGCATTCACTCCCGGAGCAAATGACACCCAGCAGGGTCACACGCTCGGTCCTCCTCTTTCTTCCCCTCACGTACATGATCAAGGGATTCAAAAGCACCGTGGGTAACGTGATGCGATTTCCCCCGATCGCAGACGAACTGCATGGATCCAAAAGTACCGACAGGAGGACTAATTTCAAATGAGTCCCTTTCGCTCGCAAGATTCGGGTGTTCTCGTCGTGGTCCCGCTGTATTTACCTCCCTCATTGCTCTTCGTGGAAATGGTTTCACTATGATGCTGTCGACTCAATTGTGATCATTGTGCTAATGAAAAATCGATCATGTCAATATTTGATGTTCGTGTGCTCTCATCGTTCCCCATCTTCTGCCACTTGGTACGAGTTTCTCATCCCTTTAGACGCGATTGAGGATACATATATATAAGCGGACATATGTATATTATATTAGAAAATAGCGTGAGCTAATGAAGCAATTGTGCAATTCTCCCGGAGGAAAAAGGAGAAGCGGCCCAACCGAGTGCTGGAATCGTTCTAAATATATATCCCGAAATAGTTGTACGCTCCGGAATTGTATTGGAATCTTATTAAAATGATAGTCGTTTCTGTGGGTCCCGTGGTTCCTACCACAATCAGTGAGTAGTTTATAATATGCCCTAAATTTTTCCTGATCTTGCCAACACACATGGAATTTTATGTCATTTGTCTGCCCACCAACCCTGTAGCGAATAATGGCGAGGAAAGCGACGATTGAGATGTATTGTGAAGTAAACAGCTCAGAATGGATGTCGAAAGCAGCCGTCCGGATGCGGAGCTTTGAGCACAGGCGATACTCGTTGTCCCTGAAGCGAGATGCATCCTGTCTCCCAACTGACGGTCCTTCTATCGCATGAAGGCCGTTCATTGAGCACGTGCATTTCACAGCGCCATGCGACGGGAAGGATGTGCCTGCTCCGATGTTTCGTGGCTCAGCCCATGAGGGTGCTCTGTGAAGCCAGGAAGGCCTCTCATACGGTGGCTCATTGAACTGGCGGTGTCGCTTTCTGGCCTGGTAAAGAGGCTCGGAGGAAAGTCAGAGGCGGACGAAAGGCGATCGACGTTCGCGGTGGAGAAATTCAGCGCTGAAAGGACTCAACAGGATTTAAATGGCGATGCTCCCCCGCGAAGGTCACACCCGCCTCCTCATCTCTCTAGAACTACGCAAAGAAATTGCAGGATGAGCTCAAATACAATTCTCACAACGAATACTGTAAGTTACCATGATTTCAGAGTGTAATTAAATCATGTCAAATCTCGGGATCGTGCATTCACGATGGCCAGACCTGAAGAGAGTGTGTGTAATCAAGTAACATCAATCGTTTAATTCCCTTGAGAAAATCTTCCATGAGATGCACCGATCCGGAAGCGCTCTGAGGGCTTTCCGACCGACTTCTGTCGTCTAGAACGACTTCGTTGAGATGCTCGCCTACGAACCCCTCAGCATGTCGCACTAGCTCGTAATCGGAGTCGTGACGTGTCGTGTATCGTAACGCCTGTCATAACCTCATTCAATTCACCCGGTCCACATGCTCCCCCATGTCAAAAAGAAGGGGGGGGGGGGAGATCATTCGGTCGTAGAGGCCTTTTCCCCGTCTCCACGAGGATCGGAAGACGACAAGTCCGGATTTTTCTGGCGGACATAAGCGTGGAAATTTCCTCCAAGACGCGGAAAGGGATCCGAACACGTCACCGGGGCTTGGGTCACGCACGCCTCGACGAAACCGTCGCCTGGTCGCGAGAGTTTTAAAATACTGTTTGCGGTCTAATGGGCGGGAAATCTGAGAATGTTTGCATTAAGATACGAAGCAGTTCGGTTCGTGTTGCCGCCCACCTGGTGCTATTAACATGAAAAGGAACGAATGAGACCATTTCAAATTGGAAAAGTTGCAATGTTCCTAACCTACGGCCCCGAACGGCAAAGCCCGCAGGGCCTTCGCGCCATCGGCCGCAGCAATCGACTTCGAACTGCATTGAATCTAGGGACGACTACCCGATTGATTCTCAGGGCTGAGAACTCGGGACATTTCCCCATTCCGCCCAGGATGCTTCCCGAAAAGAAAGATGTGCTCGGTGGTCGAGGAGTTGGCATCGTGAGGCCATCGTTTGCCATGACCCGAGACACTTCCAAACGCAAGACAAGAATGCGGAAACTATTTTACCCCTCTTCATGCATAGGTTTACCAAAACACTTTATGTAAATTATGCTCCGAGACAGATGCTTACAATTCACCTCCCTGCACATCTAGCATCTTCAAACTCCGCGGCTCTCCAGCGACATCTATCGGCTGACACGGCACACCCCCGTCAGGCATTTTACTCCCGGAGCAAATGACACCCAGCAGGATCACACGCTCGGTCCTCCGCCTTCCTCCCCTCACGTACGCGACGAAGGGATTCAAATGCACCGTGGGTCACGTGATGCGATTCCCCCCGATCGGTCCCGCGGTCTTCGCGGTTCGCGTATTTTCGGTCACGAGGACAGTTCTCGAATGGAAGCCAACGATTCAGAAAACATTCCACAAACATGCATTCCAAATCGGACCGAGCCACACGTCGTAAAGATGGGAAACTCGTCTCTCCGCCCCGACCGAGCCGCGAAGGGAAAAGGGAGGTCCCCCCCGGACGACGCCGCTCAGTCCCCGCCTGGCGGCGCGGGGGGGGCTCGGAGACCGACCAGTCCGTGCCCTTCTCCAGGCGGCGACGCATTCTCGAGTTCCTGCGATGCAATCGGAGGTTATTATTCCTGGGATGTGTAGTCTCTTGCCACAAATTTCACGTTTGCAAGTAAATTCCCTCGGAACGATAGTAGAAATTTCCACACGGATCCTCAACATAAAAAATATTCAACTGTAAATTTAGTCGGAAAGAGTTATACCTAAAATTCTGGAGTCTCCTTCACTACATACTTTTTTTCCGCAGGAAAATATTTAGCACGAGAAAAATAGGAAAATATTGTACATACGCAAACGTCATTGCGCGAGAAATATGATACCTCCTTTTAGGGCATAGGTGTAATGCTTTTAGGTGTAATGCTTTTTTCATTACAGTGAACAGGAGGGTAAGTGATTGGAAATTTGTCCAAACTCTTCCTCTCGATTGCGAAAGGCGACATCTCCCTCACCTTATAATACGAGTAGATCACGATGAAGAAGTGGATGGCGACGGGACAGGAGATGAAGAGGGCGACGGTCATGATGGCGAGGATGACGGTGACGGGATCGCCCTTCATGCCGGCGAGGATCGTCAGGACGAGCAGCGCGACCGCGGAGAGCAGCATGAGGGACAGGATCAGGAAATCCAAACACAACAAAAGAATCATCAGTTTCATCTTCGGCTGCGACGGTTAAGAACTAAAATCAGACGAGGGAAACTCTCCATGAACGGTATGACGGGGACTTAGGCATCAGCGAAAAAATTCTGCCGTCCACACGAATGCCATAATCTAAATTTCCAGAAACAAACTTCTCTTATTGTTCCATTGCTACCGATTTGGGCTTGGTATAGAGATGTAAAACTTTCCAGCGTAAAAGATACATAAAAACATACATGGTAAAAGATTACCACGATATTTTTGCTGCTGGAATCTTTCAAAATATATCCTGAAATAGTTTTACGCTCCGGAATAGTATTGGAATCTTATTAAAATTAGAATGGTATTAGAATTAGAATAGAATTATAATTATAATCAATTTTTCCTGATCTGATTGCCAACACACACGGAATTTTTTAGTCATATGTCCTGCCCACCAACCCTGTAGCGAATGAAGGCGAGGAAACATGCGGGCGGCCGCTTTCGACATCCATTCCAGATTGGATGTCGAGAGCTGCCGTCCGAACGCTGAGCTTTGAGCACAGGCGATACTCGTTGTCCCTGAAGCGAGATGCATCCTGCCTCCCTACTGCCGGTCCTTCAATCGCATGAAGGCCGTTCATTGAGCACGTGCAGCACGTGCATTTCGCCGCGCCGTGCGACGGGAATGAAGTACCTGCTCCTATGTTTCGTGGGTCAGCCCATGAGGGTGCTCTGCGAAGCCGGGAAGGCTCATTGAACTGGCGGTGTCGCTCTCGTCGTGGTAAAGAGGCTTGGAGGAAGCCAATGGCGGACGAAGGGTTTTGACGGATGTGGAGAAAACCGAGTTGCATAATTTACACTTAAATGAGTCAAAATCATTATAATTGGATGAGGCACTTGCTACTCTCTGAAAGTCATGGCGACCCCACCATCGCTTAATCGATCCGCAAAGAATTGGTTCTCTGAGGTAAAATGCAATCCTCACAATGAAAAAGTAATTATAATTTCAGAGTTCAATTATAATAAGGTTTCATATTGGCATTGAGCATTCTCGAATAATAATTCCGCCAAGGAGCATATTTGCCTTTCGGCGAATTCCGAGTTCACTACCGCCCCGTGTCCGGTGTACGGCGGGTCTGGAGTATCGGGTTTCGATCGTATTAATACTCTGAATCGGGTGATGCGGCTATTGGGTGCTGACCCCAATGGACACCGAATCGATCTGTTGAATGACCCAGCGCTTTAAAATAAATCATCCAGAAGATTGATCTGAAAGCACTCTGAACGACGTCCAACCGACTGACGCCGTCCCGAACGACCCGATGATCGAGATACTCGTCCCCGAACGCATCAATATGTTCAACCGTCTATTTAATCGGAGTCCTATCCATATCGCAACGAACCGGCCACTTCACGAGGCCCATCGATTCGTCCGGTCCGCATACTCCCCATGTCAAAAAGAACGGGGAGTGCGGTGACCAACATGTGCTTGCGAGATGTCACTGGGCGATCCAGTCACATGGGACCATTATTATCATTGTGTGGGCCACACGAGCCCGATACATAATCATGCAGATATTCCAGCTCGTAAGTGCATCGTGCTTATACTCCGCTTTTGGCTCAGGATGGAAGTGGAGATTTTTAATCACCCACCACCGTAACGTAACAATCTCGGGTTACACATATATTGCTGTTGAAGTATCACTGCTCACATGAAATCGAAGTGCACTGGGAAATAAAGTCACAAGAGACACGAGCCTCGTCGATGAAGGTTTTCGCGCACCACGACGCGCCATATGCACCTGCCACGATCAGATTGTGACTCACGCTCGCTGGCACACAGGTCTGCCATTGCCCGATTCGAAGGCAGATGCGAGGTGCATGGGGCGAGGCTCGACTGCGTCGGAGGGAACTTTGCGTTTCGCCTCTGGGTCGTCGCCGGTCTGCGGAAGAATCCCTGAAGAGATCCGTTCCGCGAAAGAAGAGAGCGATGAGTCACGTGGGCATGGAATAAACGGGAGACGGAAACGAACCCTGGAAAAGAAACGGTATTTTCGCTCTAAACTGACACATTCCACGATATTTTTAGTTTTCTCCTCTCTCCCATTCTGCCTCTACATATTTCGTAACACCAACATTTACTGCCATTCCACCAAAAAATCGTCGAATTTGCGTCCCAGAACCATGGGGACATGCACGTGCGCTAGACGTATGCGTAGCTTTGAAGTCCAGCTTGAGGAAAAGGCCCCTTTCACAGCAAATCAGTCACGTGATCACAGCAGGTCGATCGCAAGGTTGCAGCAAGTCAGTCACGTGATCACAGCAGGTCGAACGCGTGAAAATGGTGGGTGGGACGCAGACTCACTACAGCTTAGACAGTTGCTCACAAAGCCAAATACATTGATTTCTCCATAGCGGTCAAAATGACCGCTCCGGTACTTCTAGCGTTAAAAGAAGTACCGAAAGCTCGCACGAGTACTAATTGGAAAGGTGTCCGCTTCACTCGGAAGGTTCACTCCGCGGTAAACCCACTCTGTTTCCTCCCTCGTTGCCATAATGCTGCGAAATATCGTTTCGCCGCGATTTCGCGATCATGCCGCGGAAGAAAATTCGTACGGTTCGGTTTTCGTTACGGAATTGTGCATTTCGGTATTTAATATTCGTGCTCTCTCGTGGATTTTCCTAGTGGAACCGGAGGAATCCGACCTAACGTAGGCCGGACATAGAACATTCACCGAAAGTCTGAACTCAGAATCTTCTTGTTGTTTTAAACTTATGCATATTTAAATCAAGTAATGTAAAAAAAAAAGTTTTTATTGAAAAATGACCGGGCTGCAGGGCTAGGATTTCCGACTCGGGGCTGTATGTGTTAATATTCAGCCACTCGGTTTAAGTTTTGTGACTTTGATGCGATTGCGAACGAGGAGAAAGAGGTGCAAATTAGAGAAGCAATTTGCAATGCAAAAAAAAAGAAATGACAACCAACGCATTCGCTCTCAACCAAGTTCTCACAGGAATATCAACATCCATTGACATTTTTTGAATTACAATATTATCAAAAATAACAGTGGGTGCCCGTTGCTCGTATGTTCGATCTTGAGGCTAGTTCGTAAAAATGGAAGCCTTCGTTTTAACAAATATTCACAAAAATACATTCGAAACCAAGATCAATCGAAACGAATTTTAAAAAAATATTCAGGAAGGACACCAGGCTCTCCGTCCAACCAACAGCACTTCCGGGTCACGCACAGCCGCGGAACCGGGAAGGGAAAAGTCCCCGGACGGCGCCCTTCAATTTTGGTCCAGCGGCGTGCAGTCGACGGCGAATTCCAGGCGATTCATTCCTCGTGTTTCCTCGGGTGGCGACGCGTCCTGGAGTTCCTGGAATGCAATCGGAGACTATCACTGCTTCTATTATGTATTCTCGATCGTTAAATGCACTAGGAACGTGAATTATCAATTCACAGCAGCAGAAATCCAATTTCAGTCTGTTCCTAACAACCTTCGTTTTTTATCGCAAGTTTGGAATTTACAGTCAAATTCCCAAAGACGATGGCATAAATTTTTGCACCGATCATCACTATATAAAACAGATTAAGCTTAAAACGTTTTAGGAAATAATTATTGATAAGATGCAGGAGTCTCCGTGGCTACACATTTTTCTTCCATCCTCCATGGTTTCCCGTTGAGAAGGTGTTTCGCCCGAGAAAAAGAGGTAACATATCTTCTCAAAACAATTTTTTTGCGCAACGCTGAAAAGAAGTACATGCTAGTCAAGATATGTCCCGTTTTTGCTGAGGAAAAAAGGCTTTGTTATATAAATATAATTTCCCTTTGTATAGGATGTGTCGGTCGTAACCATGTTAAAGAATTCCATATTGCCCTTCAGATGGACGAAGTATTTAATCGCCGATGAACTTTTTTCTAACTTTGCTTGCGCACTTGGAATTTTAAGTGATGTACGTCTTGCTCACACGCCCTATAGCGAGTAGTGGCGAAGAAACCAAATCTTGGGATGTATCGTGAAGTAAACAGCTCAGAATGGATGACGCAAAAGTTCGTCCGAATGCTGAGCTTTGAGCACAGGCGATACTCGTCGTTCCTGAAGGTAGATACATCCTGTCTTCCTACTGCCGGTCCTTCAATCACGCGAAGGCCGTTCATTGAGGTCTTTCACCGCATGCCTTTATGTCACCATGCGAGGGGATTGAAGTACCTGCTCTGGTGTTTCTTCGCCCGGTATGTCCGACCGCTCTGTGAAGCTGGGAAGGACTCATTTATGATAGACCAATAATCTGGGTGGTGACGCTCTCTTCTCCAGTAAAGAGGCTTGCAGGAAATCAGTGGCGATTGAATATAATCCACATACGGCAATGTCATTTCCCGATTAATTTGGTACTGCTTTTTGGAACAATCTTCACCGGACCAATCCAGAACGATTCTTCATCCTCGAGTCGTGGTGGGATGATAATTATGATACGATGTAAAGAATTGGAACGTTGTCCACACTATTCCGCGCGAATATGTGTTATGGCAAGCGACGTCTCCCTCACCTTAAAATACGAGTAGACCACAAGGAAGAAGTGGACGAATATCGGACAGCTGACGACGAGGGCGACGGTCAGACCGGCGAAGTTGGCGGTGACGGCGGGATGGCCGCTTTGGCGAGAGTGGATCGTCATGACGAGCGTTGCGATTGCGAGTAATGGCATGAGGATCAGGACCAAGAAATACAGACACAACCACGGAATCATCAGCTTCCTCTTCAGCTGAAAGTTTCGAAAGCAAAAACTCAGAAAAGGACAACACTCAATGCATGGAACTCAATCGAAGAGGCTGACAAAACGCGAATGACAAAATGAAACTCCAAAAACACTCTTCTCTACCTCTTAAATCGCAACCAATTTGGGTCTAGTGTAACATGAATAATTTCTCAGCATTCATTCGTTGGATCTTCTCCACTGTGTAATAGAAATGAAAAGCCTTTGACGTGGTATCCATTTGGATTTTATATTGGGATTAAAAGCCTCTTATAATTTCAAACTTTTCAGTTGCTTTTCGGACAAACCTTGCGAATTCCGTGGATGAGAAGGGAATGTATTATGATGGAAACGACGGAGAAGACAATGGCAGCGACCGCAAAAGTGGAGACAACTGTAAAACGGGAAAGTCAATTAGGGAAACCTCAGCATATTTCCAACAGGTTGCGTCCACTCGCGAAAATGCAGAACGAAGTGAATCGAAACGATCGAACCA